AAAATAGAAAGATTGGACATCGAAATTAAAATACTTTCGTGTTTCAAACAATGCCATCAAGAAAGTGAAAGACAACCCATAGAACGGAAGAAAATACTTACAAATATATATATAATAAGGGATTTGTATCCAGAATATATAAAGAACTCTTACAACTCAATAATAAAATGATAACCCAAATTAAAAATGGGCAAAGGACTTGAATAGATGTTGGTTCATAAACTCCAGAACTTCCCAGGTGAAATCCGTAACTGGCCCCCCTCAAGTGGAGGGCAAGGAGAGACTGAAGAAAGATCATTCCAGATTGGTAGGTGGCAGACTTAATAAGCAGGGGAACTTACATACGAGGCTCCTCTTGGCCAGCCACAAGACAAGTGGATCTCTGCAACCACTTGCCAGAATCTTAAAAGTTTATATAGAGGCCTTAATTAGATGCAGTCTCATATATCATCTAGATCAGGAGCCCTCATCTCTGAGCCACAAGCCGTAGACAGGTATGGGTGCATGGCCTGTTAGGAACCAGGCTGCACAGCAGGAGGTGAGCAGCAGGTAGGTGAGCTAGTGGCGCTTCATCTGTAATGACAGCTGCTCCTCAGCACTAGCATCACCGCCTCAGCTCCACCTCAGATCATCATGCATTAGATTCTCATAGGAGCACTGATTTCTGGTGTTAAAAAGGTTGGGGAGTGCTGCTTTAAGGCACTGTATTTTGTATCTCTTACTTCCAAACTAATCCTAAGAGAGGCTTATGATAATGAACAGGCTGCTGACCTTGTTCTATGGGAGAGGATTTTGTGGAAGATAATAGTTCTTTACATCTGCAAAGTACTGACAGATTTGTGTCCTTGAAGTTATATAGGTGACTTTAGTGACATCACATGTCTTTTCTATTTATAGCAGCTTTAGTTAAAAATAGCTATTTCAAATGGAGTGTTTGGTTACACTATTACTTAGCAGTGTGAAAAACTGAAAATAACCCCAATGTTTAAAAATAAAAATCATATTGCATCGATTTAATGAAATAGCTATTTTTTTCTTTTTAACAGCTTTATTAAGATATAATCAAACAAAACAGCATAGCTACACTGCACACGCTTCGTTTGTCAGCACTGCATTCTGGGTAAACTGTCCCCAAACTTTCAAGAATGCAGGTGTGGGCTAGTTCCTTCCTTTTGCCTCTTTGCCTCTGAGAGAGGGAGATGGGTCATCAGCAACTGTACTGGAGCCAGCCGAGAAAATTTGGCCAGGGGTCTCATTCTTGCTGCGTCTGTTCAAACCGCACGGTCTGATCTGGAAACATGGCCTCAATATGTGCTGCCATTGTTTCCGTCATTACACGAAGGATATAGGCTTCATTAAGTTAGACTAAGTGAACTTCCATGAATGAGTCATTCCAGACATCTACTGCAGAAATAATGCTAGCTCTTTGTATATAAAATAAAAACTTCAATTATGAGTGTTTTATTGCGAATGGAAGTCACATGATCAAAGAATCTTTAAATTTTGCTATTATCTTCTCAGTGGATTTATCTTCAAAATTTGTGGCTTGTTTACCCCTGGTTAAATAAAATATTCATGATGCTGAAAAAATAAATAAAAAATTTTTTACAAAGATATAATCACATACCAAACAATTCACTCATTTAATGGGTATAATTCAATGGTTCGTAATATATTGACAGAGTTGAGCGACTATTACCACAATCCAATTTAGGACATTTTCATCGCCCCCAAAAAACACCCCTTGCTTATTCGTAGTCACTGCCTAGGCCCCCAACGCTCACACATACCCAACTCCCAGTCCTAAACAACCACTAATCTACTTTCTCTGTATACAGAGTTGCCCATTCTAAACATTTTATATGAATGGACTCATGTAACACGTGCTCTTTTGTGACACTTAGCATAATTTATTCAGAGTTAATCCATGTTACAGCATATATTAGTACTTCATTCCTTTTTATTGCCAAGTGGTATTCCATTGCATGGATATACCACACTTATTTATCCATCAATTGATGGACACCTGGGTTGTTTCCACTTATTGGCTATTATGATTAATGCTGCTGGGAACATTAAGTTTTGTGTGGATGTATGTTTTCATTTGTCTTGGATATATATCTAAGAGTGGAATTGCTGGATCACATGGTAACTATGTTTAATATTTTGAGGAACTGCCAAACTATTTTCCAAAGTCGGTGCATCATTTTACATCTCCACCAGCAATGTATGAGAGTTCCAATTTCTCCACATCCTCATCAACACTTTTTATCATTTGTCTTTTTGATTATAGCCATCCTAGTGGGTATGAAGTGGTATCTCATTATAGTTTTGATTCGATTTGCATTTCCCATATGGATAATGATGTTGAACATTTTTTTACATGCTTATTGACCATTTTTTATATCTTCTTTGGAGGAACGTCTATTGTTGGAGGAGGTCATGAAGAGGTTGTGACCACTGGTTGACCCATGAGCTGGACTTGGGCAGTCTGAGGCTCCTTACCACTTCCAGTCCTTGAAATGTATATTCCATCCACTGTTCCCACAGTGGGAGCCATTTTCAAGGACATAGCTTTGAGAACTATGTGTTGTTGAGACCATCTAGACCAGCGGTCCCCAACCTTTTTGGCACCAGGGACTGGTGCTCCTATGAGAATCTAATGCCTGATGATCTGAGGTGCAGCTAAGGCAGTGATGCTAGTGCTGGAGAGCAGCGACCAATACAGATGTAGCTTTGCTCACTCACTCACTGCTCATCTCCTGCTGTGCGGCCCGGTTCCCAGCAGACCACAGACCAGGGTTTGGGGACTCCTGTCTTAAACAAAACAGCTTATTTCTCTGTCACATAAAAGTCTTGAGATAAGTGAAAGTGCTGCAATGGCAGATATCTCAACACTGTCCTCAGAACCCCAGGCTCCTTTCAATTTCCTGCTTTGCCAACCCTGGGGTATGTTCTTATGGTTTAAATGGTAGCTATCACATCCCCATTCCAAGCAACAGGATGAAAGAAGCAGCAGAAAAAAATGGAGGTGGAAGAAAAGGAGGACAAAGTGTATGTGCCAGATGTCTTTAAGAAAGATTCCCAGATGCCATTTTCGCTATGCATTCATTGACCAAAACATTGTGACATAGCCATACTTAATTTCAAGTGCTACTGAGAATACAGTCTTTATTCTAGGTAAAATGTGCTCAGATAGAAATTAGGGGTTCTACCATCATGGAAGAAAGGGAAATAAACATTCAGAAGTAACTAGCAGACTCTGTCAATGACCCATAACTTATCTAATGACACAAAATTCTACCAAAAGCTAGAAGGAAAAATAATCTTGTCACAAAGGATGAAAGAAATAAGATGAACTAAGAACTACACACTAAATTCAACAGAATGAGGAATGACTATGCCTAATAGTGAAAAGCATCAGAGGAGACACATTTGCAAAAGTGTAGAGAAATAACCAAAAGTGAGGGGAGTATTTTTTAAAGATGGAAGCCAGAGGCAATATTCATCAGAAATGCTATGGCAAATAAAAAGAAACTGTTTAAGTGAGGAATAGGTAAAATCATACTGCTTTTTACTTTCCATTAAGACAAGACTTTTAACAAAACAATTTATCTTTGCCTATTTTATTCATATGCTTTCAATTCCTGTAAGGCTCATATTCTGATTTTATTGCTTCTGGTAGTATTTCAAGGATATATATTTGTAACTTTTCTAGATACACCTAAAGATACAATCACTTTTGTTTAGGAATCAATTTGTTTAGTTTTTGATTTATTATGTTAACATATGCATACTACGTACATCAAAAAAATACTTGAACACTCCCAATGTACACAGTTTGGTGTAAATTTACTTAATCCTTTTAATAATTAATTTAAAATCCACATACCAGTTTGGTTTCTATATAAGAAACATAATCACTCAATGTGACTAAGATAAAGTGTTCAAGAAAGATAATATTTAATATGTTTCAGGAAAAGATAATTAACATTTAGGATTTTTTTTTTTAAGTTTACAAGTTCAGAAGAGTTTAACCAAAAACATGAGTATAAATAAGAAAAAGTTACTATATGGGGAAAAAAGAACTTTCAAATGCTAATGTTGAGATTAGTGTTAAGGTTTTGTATTATAAAATTTGAGACAAGGGAGAAAGGTGAGAGCCCACATACACTCAAATGATCCAAATGCTTTAGAAAGTGCATTTTCTTTAGACAATTCTACAGCTGATATGCAATTTCTAAGAGAGAGTACAGTTTTAACAGGATGATAGTTTCATGAATAATATGTCATTTGTAGATCTCCAAAATGTAATAAATGCACTAGATTCTATATAGCATGACCATATGAATAAAGAAGTTGCCTTCTTGAAATCACTACATCTCAATATTATTTCAGCTTATTTAAAAGACAAGCTAAACATGTTGGCTTGTTTCAGCGTCCCCAATCTTTTTGCAGATCTGCTGTCTATTATACTTGACATAAGTTATAACATATAGCATGTGGGAGAATAGGAAAGCACTGGCCTGGAAAATCAAGAGGGTTGTGTGTTCCAGTTCTGATTCAGCCCCCAATTAGTCACCTGAAGCAAGACACACTTTCAAGGCCTTCATTTCCTCATTAAAGACAATAAATGAATTGGACTTTATGTTCTCTCAGGTCTTTTCTAGCACTGTGATTCTAAGACACTTTGAGGGTTCATTTCAGATGACATAACATTTGTTTACATTAAATCACTTCCTATACTTTTATTATCAGAAACTGTCCTTACATGAAGTTTGAATTATTAAAATGTTTTATTCACCATTTTTCAAATCAGAAACAGTAATTCAGAATTCAACTACAGCATTCCAAATTTTAAAAATTTTTTAAATTGAAATAAGATGACTAGCATCATAAATTTTGCATTCACATCACTGAACCTAGAAAAAAATATATAATAGAATGTTAAAGCCAAAAGAGCATCTGAGAGATGGAAGGAAGGAGGGAAGGAAAAGAGAGAGATTGAGATTTCTAGTAAAGTATGTTTCAATGACAATTACTTCATAACAACTGTACACTCAGAATTTATGGATGTATGTTACAAGCTGGGGGAAAAGTCCAGCCCAAATGTCAAAACACAGAGCCAAAATAATTCTGAATTTCCTAAAGGCACATTTGGAGAAGAAAGAGAAGAATTCTTTCTCATTTCCCCATCTCACTGTCTCAAAGGGGAGAATGTAAAATTATGCACATCTTTGGTAATGTTTTATAGAAAATAAATGCTCAGATACAGGAATAATTTAACTTAACACTTCCTCTTCAATTTGTTTTTTATAGCTGACATGTTAATTTCATTTTGAACATGGTATGCTAAATATCCTGAACTTCCAGGAATGAAGTCATGTAGTTCCCCAAGGAATTTCTTCATGACATCAATTGATACATAACCTGCAAAATAAAAAATATGTATATATTTGAAATCTTATCATAGTATTTCCTTTTCAGTGTCTTTGATTTATTAAAGTTAAGATTTCTAAATAATGTTTTTAAAAAAGAAGTAAAAAGAAGAAATAATATCAGTGAGAAAATTCTCCATGAACCTTGATAATTATCAGAGTAACACTCTTATTACCCTTTACCTGCTTCCCCCAGCTTTCTACCTCCTTTTAAAACACAGATAATTGGTTAACAACTTTGACTATGAGAGTCTGATGTTGAGGTTAGGGATTGAACTTTAAAGTATCTAGACCAAAATAACTGGGGAGTGTGTCTGGCTTAGAGTATAATCACTTAGAACTACCTATCCAACTAGCTACTAACAGCACAGTTGATCCCTAGTAGAGCAGGCAATACTTCCCTGCACAGCTAACAGTAGGATAACATTCTTTAATAAAAAATTAATGAAAAATTGATTGTATTGCTTAGTCAACAATGGTTATTGGAATGAGTAATTTTGATGTCATTAATAATCTGAGATATGAGTATCAAAAAGAAACACCTAAGATAGGGAGAGCTTAAGGACTCTATAACTAAGTAATATTACCTTGATAACAATTGTTTATCTGAGCAATTATATTTTATGTGCAATATAAGTGTTTGTGGTTTATATCAAAATTGAAACCTAACTTAAAAGAAATACTGTATGAAAAAAAATTCTGGTAGACCTCAGGGTGATTGAATTTAGAACACTACCACCATCAACAGATTATCTATGCATATAGTCTGATTATTTCTAATAATAGATAATAAATTACTGTTAATAAATTAACTATGAATCCAAACATACAACACTGATTAATATTTTAAAGATATTTTAATCATAGTCATTTACTTCAGAAAATCTCTTGAAGCACTATTACTATATTAGTGATATTACTTATTAATGGTTCATGACATTTACCTAATGGCTATGTTTTTGTGTAAAATAAACTAATGCAGAAATATTAATATCTAGTTAATTACACATATACACTGTGTGAAATTTCTAAAGATATATGTGAGGATAAGAATTTTAAAAATAATTACTACAGTAACAAAAAATATTCCTGCAAATATAGGGATAGAACATTTATGCATCAGAAATAGATTATTGTAGCAGTTTTGAAGTAGTTAGGACACTAAGTAAATTTAACAGACACCTAGTTTAAACTAGCTTAAACAAAAAGGAGTTTACTGGCAAGACATTGCCATATCAACCAAGCTATGAGGAAGGTAGAATATTGCTGAGCCTCAGAAATAACTAGAACCAACTCTCCTGACGGTCTCACTGGTCTCCAGTTTTTCTCTGTGTGTTGTTTCACCTTCTTCTCTTGAAGTAACTTGCCTTTCCTTACATGGTAGAAAGCATGGCTGCTGATAGCACCCAGTTTTATATCTTAGAGCTATGGTCACCTGAATAAGAATGACTTGACTTGCTGTGTCAAGAGAAATCCAGAGAAAGAGTTGTGATTGGCCCAGCTCAAATCAGGGATTCATTCCTAAAGCAACAGCTGGAGTGAGAGGTAAGCTCATGTTTTAGAAAATTAACGTTCCTGTGTAATCCAGATAAATTGGGAAGAAGAAAAGAAGATTCCTGGAAGAGGCATTCTTGGCAGACAATTCCATATGTGTCTGTGGTAGTCAGTCTCCAAGATAGCCCTGAATGAGTTCTATCTCCGTACGCACGAATTTGAGTAGTCTCCCACTTTGTACTTGGGTTGGTCTCTATGACCAATAATACATGGTAGAAGTGATGGCATGAAAGTATTATGGACCCCCCCAAAAAAAAGGATTATATGGAAAGTAACCTCACAGGGTGATAAGATCATAAACTGGGCAAGTCTTGGTGAGTAGTCATGACCCAGGTGTATAACTTCCTTAGTAAAATACTTATCTTTGTCTTAAGCAAGCCCTGCCCTTTGTTTTTGTGCCTCTAGGTTAATACACCTTTGAAATGCACCTCTTCAGACCCCTCCTTCTACTACATGACAAAGCTTTCAGACCCCTCCTACTAAAGTGTGAGAGCACATAATCTTAGTTTGTAATCCAATGCTGCCCTTGCTTTCTCCTACCATCATGTAATCTTCCTTACTTTCTCTCCTTAATTTCAAATGCATAAAAGAAGCTGCAAAATTGTTATTTTGGGGAGCATTTGAGATCTTGCTCCCCAGCATATGTTGTCAGTGTGGCTCAAATAAACTCGTAAAAATTCTTTACAGGTTTGGACATTTCTTATTTCAACAATAGTACATAAAAAAGACCCTGGCTTCTGTCTTAGGCATACTCTTTTTCTCTCTTGAATTTTTCACTCTAATGAAAGCAAGCTACCATGCTATGAACAACCCTTATGGAGAGACCCACCTGATGAGGAGTTGAAGCCTTTGGCCAAGAACCAGCAGGGCCCAAGGCCTGCCAATAACCACATGAGTGAGCTTTGAAATGGATTTTCCAGTGCCAGTGGTGCCTTGAAATAACTGCAGCCTGGCTGACAATTTGACTACAATCTTGTAAGACACTGAGACAAAAGTTTCTAACTAAGATGCTCCTGGATTCCTAGCCCTCAGAAACTATGAAATAACAAATGTTCATTGTTTTCAGTTGCTAAGTTTTAGAACAATTCATTTGTTACACAATAGCTCCGAATAGCAACAGACAACCAACACAGTATCTTTTATAGGTTCCCAAACTTTTAATTATCAGAACTTTTTGGTTTGGAAAGTTTTGCCTGTAAGATATTTATAATTATTAATTTTTTTTATTAATCACCCATGTAGCTGTCAATCAGAACTTCTTATCATGAGTGATAACCAGTGATTGCAGACTGAAAAGATTTAATTCCAGTCAATAGTAAAAAACAAACAAAAAACAGGCCAAAAAAAAAAAAATCCCTTGCTACTTTAAGGGACATTTGGCAATGCCTGGAGATAGTTTTGGTTGTCACAACTTGGGGGATGGGGGTGCTAGATGTAATACTTACTGGCATCTAGTGGGCAGAGGCCAAGGTTGCCTTCTCCAACAAAGAATTATCTGGCCTAAATACCAAGAGTTGCAGGACTGAGAAACCCATGTTCTGGGATATACAGTTCTAACTTGTATTTTCTACAACCAACCTTCTAGTTAATTCTATTTTAAAGGCATTAGTCAAACTCAGCCCATTTTGAGGAAGAGACAATCAAGTTATAGTCACAAAAGTTGTTGCCACTGCCTAATTTAGAATTCTTGCTCACTAAATTTTTACTTAACACAAGCTGATTTTCCCAACACGAAATTATTCCTACCTGTACAAGCAAATAGGCATGATTTTTTTTTTAAAAAAGGGAAGTACTCGTCACTTCACATCAAAATTTTTAAAGACAAATGAATTATCTCTAAAAAATTAATCTTTCTTTCAAGAAAGTATTACATAAAATTTTAATGTAGAAATAAAAAGAAAGAAAATAATTATTCAATTGAGAAAATTTTACTTTAGCTCTACCAATAAAATCAACAAAAGATTACCAGAGGTTAAAACTGTACTTTAAAAATTCCAACTAATGATTATTTTTATAGTTTTTTTTTTTTTTTAGTTTGTCTTTACATAACACTCTCATGTCTTTTTGAACAGACAGCAATGAAACATAGAGCAGCATTGTGTGGATGGAAAAAAGGGGTTCTATGGAAAGTAACTTCTTAGGGTAACCTGACTGTAAATTCCTAACTAGGTAGGTTATGGTGGGTAGTCACGTCTCAGGCATATAACTTTTTAGTAAAAGGTTTAGCTTTGCCTTAAGCAACCCCTGTCCATTGTTCCGTACATCTAAGTTAACACACCTTTGAGATAAACCATAACCAACCCCAAGAGAGCACATAATCTCAACTATCCTGTAATCCCATCCCATTGCTTTCTGCCACCTACATGTAATCTTCCTTACAGCTCTTCTTAATCTCAAGTGGATAAAATAACTGCATACTGAACATTTATTTCAATCAATTGAGATCTTGCTTCTAGGTAAATCCTCTGTTTGGCTCAAATAAATTTTTAAAAAACTTCTTTACAGGTTTGGATATTTCTTATGTCGACAATCGCTACATGTCCTAATCTAAGTATTTGTCTTTATGATATAGCTCATTTTAACATTTAACATTGATTTTTTTTATTATGTTAACAAACACTTTGGTAAGTCCAAATGACATGAGACATTTAGTACCTGATGGTAGAGTTGTCTACAGTAAAATCAATACTAGTAATATGCCACAACCGTGGCTTAAGGTATCTGCATTTTATTTGAATGTTCAGGCTTTGGGATAAATATGAGTAACAATCAACTGCTCCCAGTCTTAGAGCTTAAGTACTTCTACTTAGTTCATTGTTCTTTGCAGTTCACAATTGCTCCTAAGAGTCACAGAACTGACTTCTATCATGGCTGGGAAGCAGTTTTCTTTGATGTCTACAAGGCTCAGCCCCAAACTACACATTATAAGTTCTTTTTAAAGTGCTTTTTTTGTAAAGGCTATTTTATATTACTTAAATGAACAGAAGGAAAAAAATAATAAAACAAATGGCTATACAAAATGGCTAGAAGGGATAGTAATATGACAGAAGACATTTATGAACTTGTGGAGATAGTTTTGACACTGCTAAAGAAAGATAAAATGATGAACATACAAATGTTTTTTAATGAAACTTCAAAAACCTATAGTTTTTAAATTGCGTGTTTTGAAAACTAAAAAAACTAAATTTTTTTAATCTCTATTTTTAAAATTATCAATGACCCTACTGAATATTATCCAGATCTAAGTACCCAAATATCCACCTCGCTTAGCACTATCCAAATCCCAGTGGCCACTGTTCTGCTGGTTCACTTGGTTCTACTCTCCCAATGTCAATCTCTGTTACCTGTCTTCTCTTTCTGTCAGGCACTAGGAAACCCAAATATAGAGTCCATGGACACCTGGGTGATCCATGAATGAGCTTCTGGGCATACGTGAGCCTCTTTAAACTATATGTAAAATTGGTGTATGATCTTTGTGTGTGTCTATGCTGGGGAAAAGAGCCTATGTTTCATCAGATTCTCAAAGGAAACTATGATTAGAGTTGTCCATATAGTTTATCTTTCTAATTGGGACACTTGAGAGTAAAAGCTAATAACAAGACGACAGGCATAAACTGGGACTATCTTGTGTAAACAAGGATGTGTGTTCACCCTGCCTATTGCCTAGCTTTTTAACACAGAAAATATGGTGCTATCTTTGGGCTAGCTCTGCAGATTAATTTATTTAATGCATGAATGATTAGCATGTGTAATAGAGGGGCATTTACTCGCTAGGCTAGTACAATAGCAGCTTTATTGTACAAAATAGTTCTTTGTTTCTTCTCTACTTGAGTTTATTCTAAATTTTATTTCAAATTACCTGTTACCATGTTGTTCACTGGATAATTCTGGAGAGGGAAGTACATCTGCTTTTCTATAACTGGAGTCCTTGTAAAATGCTTTTCTGTGCTGTAAAATGAAACATACAGAACATCACATTAATATTTGTTTTTTGGATTTGTTTTACAAATGAGAAACTCCAGGATATATAAATATATATATATATATTTGCTCTTTGATCAGACTTCAGTCTTAATTAGGTAAAAAGTTAAATGTGAACTTCTTTTGTGCTTCTAAGTAATATAAGAGCCCATATATTCATATATTTTTGGTTCTCTTGGCCACATAACAAAACAAATATTTATTAAGTTATATAGAGGCCTGAGTCTTTTTCTCAATATTCTTAACTGCATAAAAATTCAATAATACTTTAAAATTATAAATACATATATACATGTGTGATGTTAAATATGCCAAAAGAAAAGCATAGTAAGCTCAATTTTAAATAATCACAGCATTTTTTGTTACTCGGTGTTCAAATAATTGGAATTTTATTAACTAGTAGTTCCATACTTTAAAAAGAAAAATAAAATGATGTCTGGGAACCATTATTTACACTAAGATTCTGAAGTGACTTCAGAGTTATAAAGAAAATAAAGTTAAATTATTCCAAGTGTGGTTGTATAGTAAAATTAATTATTTTCTAATTTTTTTAAGAGCTAAGTAGTTTTCAACTAAAATATTTTATTTTCTAACTATGCCAAATGACAGTATTTACTATATTTAGACTACATATAACCAATAAATAATACAATTATATCAAAATTAAAACCTCAATAATAAAAAATTGGAGTAATCCTTAAATTTATTATTTTCCTAAAAATCTAAAATTACATTGAGTGATAGTATAGGCTTTATTTTCAATTTGTTTAAAAATTAGATTTCATCTAAACTTTTCTAAAAGAAACTATAGGTCAGTTAGAATGAGATTCTACAAATAAAGTGTTCTCAAAAAAGTCAGGGACTAAACAAGGATATCTATTATCATTATTACTATTTATCACAGCTCTAAAATTTCTGGCCAAGATGATGAAAGAGGGAGAAAGGAATGGAAGAGATATCTAGTGAGAAGAAAGACGCAATATTTTCATTATTAACAAATGACATGATTATGTACCCTAAAAAGCCCAGAGAATCAACTGATATATTCTTAGAGTCTTAAAGATTCCAAGCGGGTAGATATAAGAAGAATATCCTCAAATCAATAACTTTTCTGTATAACAGTAGTAATAATAATAATAAAAAGGAAGAAATCCACAATAGCAACAAAAATCTAGGAATATCCATAACAAGAAATTTATCTTATAGTAAGAAAAATAAGAAACTTTACTGAGATATAGAAAAGAAAAAAGTAAAACCAAAAGCATTCTCCTGGATAGGAATATTGGAAATTACAAAGACAACAATTCTTCTCAAAATTAAGTTTAACACAATTCTCAATAAAATTCCAAAGCGATTTTAGAGCTTAAGAAAAAGAAATAATTCTATAATTCACCTGAACAATATGTTCAAAGATCTAATAGGAAGCAAGACTAAATTTATAATAGAATTTATAAAACATAGGAATAATCTTTTTAAAAGGACAAGATTTATATGAAAACAACAGGAAAATGTTCATTAAGGACCACAAAAGAAAACTTGAACAAACGAGGGGAAAAAATATAATTTTCTCAGATAGGAAGAGTTGGCATCATAGTCTCCCTAATCTATAATTTTTTTGTAAATTAATAATAACAGGAATTTTTCTTTATATTAACTAGCTGGTTGTAAAATTCAGATGAAAAAATAAACCAGAAAGAATAGCAAAGAAAATTTGAAAAAGAGAAAGGAGGAGGAACTAGTTGTAGATATTAAATCATATTATAAATAATTAAAACACAGTGGCATTATTGCATGACAAATGAATAGAATACATTATATTAATATTTGTGGGAAGAGGGAGTAATTAAATTTGTTAGTACATGCATATATAAAAAACCAATAGTACTGGTTGCCTTTGGAAGGAAACTAGCTTGTTAAGAAGCAAGTATATTTTCATAGTAGCCTCTTTTGTATATCTTGGATTTTGAACCATGTGAATATATTACCTAATAAAAATAATTAAAATTTGAAAATAGAAAAATAATAAGTAGGCATGAAGAGCTAGCTAAGAAGATTTTTAAAAGGAGAGTAATGAGTTTGAGACTTGCCTTGTCAGGTATTAACATACATACATAAAGCTACCTAACTTAAAAGAATATTATATTGATATAAAAATAGATCCACAGATTGATGGAATGAAACAAATAGTCTAAAAATAGATCTCCATATACACAAAAACAATATATAACAAAGGGAAATAGCACATGTTAAAATAGATTTATTTTTTTAAAAAACTGGTGGAAATTTCTTATTTGAAAAACAAAAATAAATTTAGATTTTCACCTATTAAAAGGACTTATCTGAAGGTAAAAGCAATAGAAGAAATTCTAAAGGAAAAGCGATTAGCTTAATGATGTAACAATTTAAAACTTGTATCTCTGAGAGAACATTTTGATGGTTGCTGGATGGGAGGGAGGTTGGCAGGATGGATGAAAAAGGAGAAAGGATTAAGAGATAAAAATTGGTAGTTACAAAATCAGTTGTTTCATGAGGATGTAAATTAGAGCATAAGAAATATAGTCAATAATATTCTAATAACTATGTATGGTGTCAGATGGGTACTAGATTTATTGGGGTGATCACTTCGCAAGTTACATAAATGTCTAATGACTACATTGTACACCTGAAACTAATATAATATGTATATCAACTGAAACTGAAAAATAAAAAGTTATTAAAGATTTAAAAAAACTTGTATCTCTAAAGAAGTATAAGCCAGACAACAAACTGAAGATACAATGTGACAAATTGGCAAAAGGATAACATAGCTATTATATAAAGAAGTCAGACAAGTTGATAAGAAAAATCATAAGATCCCCTATAGAAAATGGAGAAAGAATAGAAACAAATAATCCATAGAAAAGGAAATATGAAATGCTAATAAGCAAATTAAAAAAGGTTCAAACCTATTAGCAATAAAAAACGCAAATTAAAACAAGATGTCATTTTTCATCCATTAAATTAGCGTAAGGCTTCTTATTAACATTCAATATACTGATGAGAGTGTGGTGAGACCAACCCTGGTCATAATTTAAATTTGTAGTTTTGTGGGAAGCAACTAACAGTAGGCATCATGGCCTTTAAAAATAGTCATATCTCTTTATACTGTAAATTCCACATCTGAGAATTTAGATTAAGAAAGTTATCTAAAAAGTAGAAAAATTTATTTTTAAAAAGATGTTAGTGAAGGTGCCATAAGAGTGACAAATTGTAAGTAATTTAAAACAGCGGTTCCCAACCTTTTTGGCACCAGGGACCAGTGCTCCTATGAGAATCTAATGCCTGATGATCTGAGGTGGAGGAGTTGAGGCGGTGATGTTAGCGCTGGGGAGTGGCTGACATTACAAATGAAGCTTTGCTTGCTCACCCGCTGCTCACCTCTTGCCATGCTGCCCTGTTCCTAACAGGCCGTGAACCAGTATCAGTCCACTACCCAGGGGTTGGGGACCCCTGATTTAAAACACTTTTTCAAAAAAAGGAAGGTGGTTAAACAAGATGAAATACCATATACAGCCATTGGAAATCATAATATCAAATAAGGCTTTTCAAAATGAGTAACTGCTCATAGAGCACTAAATGGAAAATCAAAAGATAGACTATATATATGCAGTCTAACTGCAACTGTATATAAAGTGTACATTTGTATAAAACTAGCAAGAAATGTAATAATGTATATGGTGGTTATCAACACCATTGGTGCAGTTGTGATGGAGTTGCTTATAGTAATTAAAATTTTCTTTATTCTACTTTGTATTTTCTATTTTGACAAATTACATGCATCACATTCATAATAATAAAGTACTGTAATTAAAAACAAGAAAAATAAACAAATATTCACACAATTTTCCGAAGGGTTTGGGAACATATCAGGAAGAGAAAATAACATAGTTATTAGGAGTATGGACTCTGGACCAGCTAGCCTTGGTTTCAAATTCAGCTTTGCTACTTGAATAATATTGGGTGAATTATTTAGCTCTCTGAAATTGTTTCCTTAATTGTAAAATGGGGCTAATAGTATATATTTTATAAGGTCGTGAGAATCAAATGAATTATTGTAAACTCCTGAGCTCACATGACTCTTGTAGTTAGCAAGTATTCAATAATTAGTTCACCACTTAGTGTTCAATACAAGTAATATGCCAACAAAATAAATGCTCCAAGAATAGGTTCAAAGTGTATTTTATTTATGTTCACACTGCACCCTCTGGTGGTTCCACAAAGGAAAGGATCCAGGTAGACACCTATCCTAGGTGTGCCTATTCTCATGATTTGTTTTCATTGTTATTGGATTAGACATAATTTCCCCAGATTTGTAAGCTCTCTTTGTTTATTAAGGAAGTTGGCTTTTGTCAAATGTTTTCCCAGTGAATATTTTTCTTTTAACTTGGTTTATGGTATTTTATTGCCATGTCATATTTGTCAATCTTTTCCTTTATTGCTTCTGTATTTTGCAGGACATTTATTCCTCAAAGAACTTATATATCTGATATCTTTATTAGTCAAGTGAATCACTGGGAGTAACTTTAGATTTTCTACTTCCTAATCTTCTCCTATGAGGTGACTTAGGATAACTATGCTCTCCTCTATCTATATCTTTCGAATACCTTTATGGTCTCATCCTCTCTATTGTCATTTTTTTCCTCTCCTTACCAGTTTCTTATCACAAAAAGCATAACAAGTAAATTCAAATGAGTGCTATACATAGAGATCCCAAAGACCTGGAATATGGATTCTCAAACTTAAGTGGTAGAATATCAGAAGTTACAGGACATGAAGCAATGGTTTACTAAACTTAATGTAATTAAATATACAACTTTGTGTTAATTAGATAACAACTTACATCAAATTATAACAAACCAAAATAGTAGGTACAAAATGTATAAGAAAAAGGTATGGGAGAAAAATCTAAAATTGAAAAAACTATATCAATTAAACCCATTCATTTTTTTTAATTTGATTTTTAAATTAAATTTATTGGAGTGACATTGGTTGATAAAATTATATAGGTTCCAAGTGAACAATTCAATAATATGTCACATGTATATTGCACTGTGTGTTCACCACCCAAAGTTAAATTTCCTTCCATCACCATCTATTTGACCCCCTTTATCCATATCTACCTCCCTTGCTCCTCCTTTTCCCTCTGGTAACCACCAAACTGTTTTCTGTATTGAAGAAAAACAACTATTTTTTGATCATTTTTATTTGAGCAGCTAAATACCAGACTTTCACATAATAAATTGCTCCCTATGCATATCTGAAAACCACTGAACTGAAAAATATGAAATTAGGATTAGATAATAAATCAGCCTACAACAAGGGGGCTTCTCATAGGTTGGCCCTAACATAATGGCAAGTCCATGTTTGTCTTTTTAAATTTAATTTCTTAAACCAAAGTAACCACATTACAAACAATTTGGAAAGGAGAGGGGGAAATCACTCTGAACTTCCAATCCTAATAAAATTACTGCTAATATTTAGTATATTTCCTTAGTTAAAAATACTTTTTAAAAATAATATAACAGTAATCATAATATATATAAAATTCTTGTTTCTTTTCTGCAAGGTTAGTATAGCATAGTAGTTAAATGCATGGGCTCTGGAATTAGACTGACCCAGTTTAAATCCTGCTTCTCCCCACTTAACAGAAGACTTTGGGCAAATTACTTTATCTGATCTTAGATCTCTTTTTCTGTAAAATAGCGATGGTGATAATGATATCAATCTCATAAGAAGACTGAAAATTAAATGAAATAAACACACAGTCAGTGCTCAAGGATGTCTCCATTGAACTGAATATTGATGAAGTATATAAATTCAATACCTTTTGGATAATTCTTTTTTGTGGTCTGTTGCTAGTTCACTGCTTTCCCTAACGGCCTTTATTTCATTTGGTATTACTTCTTCATGCTGTGGCTAGCAAAATAAATCACATTTTTAAAAATCAGCACACCAATGATCCAATAAATAATTTATTCTGTAAAATAAAAAAATATATTGGTAATATATATCGAGTCATAAAAATATTTATACACAGGTACTTTAATCTAGTTTGGTGGAGAAAACCTACAAAATTTTGTACATACATAATTATACTCTATATTTTTAGAGATACCTAAAGAACAGAATTTTTTAAATATTGGCTGTCATTGTATTACATAGTAAAACTTTGATTGATTTTATTCTTTTTTCAATTTTTGAAATTTTCCCTAATGTGGTCATATTACTTTTTAGTTTAAAAAAAATAAGGAAAAAGTTTTATTAATTTAAACTTTCTTAAAATTCTTGAATTGAAGATTCCTGTGAGCTACAAATCAAAATTATGAAGTAAGCTAAACAAATTATGCTTCCCCTTCAAAATTAAAGTAAATATTGAGCTGTGGAGTAACAAAAGAACTAAATGTATATTAAGCTTTTCCCAAAGATTATATGAAAATGGCTCAGATATACTGGTACCTATCACTCAATATATTTACTCAATATTCCATTAGGAAAATTTCTATATTTAGATCACAAATCCGCTCCAAACAATAATGCTCCCCCAAATTACTTTCCAGATTTATCTTTGCTGTTGCCATTTGATGAAGTGCCTTCTACTTATATATACAATGGTTACATTATAATTGGCTAATATTCAATATCAATCAGTATTTTGAAAGAATTAACAAAAGCCTTTATCATAAAATCGTACAATTTCTAGAATCAATAGTCTCTAGTCAATAGTAGAACAGGCATGTTCTACTAAATTTTTGGTAGAAAAAACATTGAATTGGGTTGGAGCTGAGAAAATTTGGTTCCACTTTACTAATATCTGGCTATGTAAACTAAGACAGATCTTGGACTTTTCTTTACCTGTTTTCTCATTTCTAAAACTGAATGATTAATGATCTTTAAGGATCTTTTTATCTCTAAAGTTCTGGTATATGCAATTGTTGTTAAATAATAACCATTCTATCTCTGAAAGCACTGTGATAAGTCAAGGATTAGATATTTTAGTACTTTGTACACCTAGTCAAAAATACTACAAGAACTATTATTTTCAGATGATGACATTTAGGAAGAAAAGACAAATTAATAAAAGGAGTACAAAACATATAAGTTAATTGCTTGGCTTTAGACATATTATAAACATTTCCCAATTTTTTATTTTGAAAAATTTCAAACTTACCAAAAGTTAAAGAATAATACAATAAGTACTATATCCCTTTCACCTAGATTCACAAAGCCTTAACATTTTTACCACCCTCCATGCCTTCTATCAATTTTTATTTTGCTGGACCATTTGAAAATATTTACAGATATGACATTTCACTCCTTAATCTTTAGCCTGAATTTTCTTTAAAAATTCTTTTATCTTTATAATACCACTATCAGAAAAGAAAATTAACATTGACTCAATATCACCTAATGTACAGTCCATATTTAAATTTTCCCAATTGTTCTCAAAATGTCTTTTTTACCTTTTTTTATTTAAAAATATCCAGAATCCAGTCAAGTTTTATACATTACATTTGGTTGTTCTCTCTCTTAATCTAGAACAGTCTTTCTGACTTTTTTGTTTTTCATGACATTATTTTAAAGAGCTGAAGCCTGCTGGTTGTTTTGTGATATGTCTCATATTCTAGAATTGTCTGAGTGTTTACTCCTAATTAGATTTGGGTTAAGCATTTTGAACAAGAACATTACAAAGATAATGTTACTTTGTAATGTTCTTTTTATTATAGCACATCTTATAATAAAAACATTTACTGTGTACTTTTTATTATAGCACATCTAGCTTAACATAATGAGAGGTTGTTCCAGTACTGACGATGCTAAATTTGATCAGTTGGTTAGGGTGGTGTCTGACAGATCTCTCCAATGTAAAGGTACATTGCTTACCTTTCTAACAAGTAATCTTGGAGTGATCATTTGAGATCATAGTTAAATGAAGGATGGTTTTAACATCCATTAATGACCCTTGCCTAAATCAATTATTTTATTGGGGGTGGTAAAATGGAGATTTTCTATTCTATCATTCTTTGTATATTTATTAGCTGCTATTCTGTAAGGAAATATTCTTATCCCACCTTTTCCTTCCTTCCTGCTTTCCCTCCTTCCTTCCCTCCTTCCTGTATCCTTCATCCCTTTCTTCCTTCTGTTCTTCTATTTTTGTTTATGCTTTTAAAGTATCACTATAGAATGATAGAATCTTTTAATTTACTGTTTTATAATTCATTATCATCTTATTCTTTTTGATGTTCAAATTATCTAAATTTTGCTATTGCATAAAGATTCTGAGATAAGTCAAAAGCATAGGCAAATTTGAGGCAGGATGGCAAAAGATATAAAACAGCCAATTTTCAGTATTAAGCACATTTATTGAGGGGCAGTATTCAAAACAAATGGCAAAACAGTAATTAATCAATCAGAATCTATTCTGGCAGTAAACAATTAGTATATACTGTGCACCTATTGCTTCCTTAAAATCGCTGAACAGAAGCCAATTTTGAAGTTTTTATGTGAATAATTTTATTCATACAAAAAACACAATATTACTAATGTACTAGTATAAAAACAATGTTAAACCAGATAATATTCAATAAAAGCATAGCCTTTAAATTCCTTAATCTGCATCATTGGTGCTAACATGTCACAAATAAACATTTTTAAGATTACACTGCTTTCAAAAATTTTGAAACTGTAGATTCTAATCAAGTACCTTAATTTACTCTTACCTTTTTTATTTGGTCTTGTTCCCAAATAAAACTACCAATTTTTCTTCTTATTTCTGTGGTAGGAAAAACAAATCCAGTTGTTTTTTTAAAAAGTAACTTTGTAGAATTTTCTGAATTTTGCATGAAGTCTGAAATTTCCAGGCCAGCATTATTCCACTTGTACTAAAATCACCCAAGATACATGTTTAAAATGCAAATTCCTAGTGAATCAGAAAATTGAGGAGGAGCTCAGGAATTTGCATTTTTAATATACTTTCCAGATGATTACAATGCACTATGAGAATCATTGTTGTAAACTTTTTCCACTGGAATACATATCTTCATTATATGTTAGTGTCTTTAGGCCAAGCATTAATAAAGAAGACAACATCTAGTCAAAATAAAAGCTATAAAATTCCTGAATTTGTAGAATAGAGATCCTCAAGAATTCAATAATTTACTTTGTTATAAGAAGTGTGTGGAAGAGCAACATGTCTGGTGAGCATAATAGTGCAGTAATTCTACCATGCTCAGCATGTCAAAGGACTATGTTATCATACCGACTCAATGATCTCAAAAGTTGCCACAGTAGCTTACTCAAGGACAAAAAGGTAACATTCTGTTAGACCTGTACTATCTAGCAGTAGCCACTAGACTAGCTACATGTGGGTACCATATTGAAATGTGTCACTAGTCCAAGTTGAGATGTGCTGTAAGTGTAAAATAAACACTGGATTTTAAGGACTTAGTATCAAACAAAAAGTAAAATATCTCAATAATTTTTATATTGGTTACTTATTGAAATGATATTTTAGACATATTAAGTTAAATAAAATACACTCTTAAAATTAATTTCACTTATTTGTATTTTTGTTAATGCGGCTACTAGACAATTTTAAACTAATATGTGGCTCACATTTGCATCTTCACACTTCTACTAGACAATACTGGTCTAGGTAGAAAATAATGTATACTTTTGATTTTTAAAAAGGAGCATGTTTTCATTTCAAACAGATTTTTTAAAAAATTGTATACCTTTTAATGTAAGATGCAAAACATAAAGACCGAATAAGAGTGATAATTTAAAATTAGATCGGATAATCATTCTACAGTATAAGCTCTTTAAGGGTGAGTATTTACTGATTGGCACAGTTTTTGAATAAATCAATTCTCCTATCCAGTCATTAATTTATTTACATAACCACTTAGAGCAATTTATTGTTATAACTAGGTCTTGCAAGGACATTCGCTATGAAAGGAATCCAATCTTGGGAGTTTCTAAAACTCTTCTATAGAAATATTTTTCAAGTTTTTTTTTTTTTTAATACTTTGCTCACAGAGAATTTGTACTAGCTTCAGTCTGTCTTTCTAGGGATGAACATATACACATCAAGATATGCATCAAGGATTGGGTAGTAATGCAAGACCTACAAAAATGAGATACTTAAAGTTAGCCCATATAAGATAGGTAGAATTTAAACAGAATGAGAAAAGAAAGTGTTTTCCAATCAGGGAAAACTAAAAGAACCAATTTCAAAAATAGATTTTTTATTTGCCCTTTACTTCTCAGTGTTGCTGAAATAATTAATATGAAAGTACTTTTTAAAGTATAAAGAACAATACAAATATGTGGTTTTATTATCATAATGAATCTTTAAATACTAGAAAAATATTTTCAGAAAAATAATGAAGAGTTTCAAAACTACCAAAGAACATTTACTGAATGCTCACATATCAGACTACTTACATTATCTCATTTTATCCTCAAAACAACTTGGGAGAAGTTGCTAAAGGCCATAGAATTAGAAAGTGTCAAATCCTAGACGGTGGACACTGTGAAGGCAAATCTCCATCTAATTCACCACTGAATCCCCAGCACCTGGGTTGAAACCCAGCACATAGCAGTAACTCAGTGAATGCATGAATGAAGGATAAACAAACAAAACTAGAATATACACCCAAGGCAATCTGATCCAAAGTCCAGCTTTTCCACTTACTGTAAATGATACAAAACAGAAAACCTCAGATGAGAACAAGGATCATCACAGTTGGGTAATCTAGCTGGATCTGGCTCTCTAATAGGGATTGGATGAATATTTTTGCTAACCTTTTTGCAGGCATGCAGGAGGAAGAATGAAATGACCTAAAGCCACTGAGTTCTTCATTTTGGCATTAGCTACTGCAGAGAGATAGTAGGCATGAAAAACTGTAGCATTATCTTCTATGTAATCGAGGCTCTGATATATTCTAGGAGAAAGAAAGGCAATATTTTAGGTTATGAAATAAACAAGAAAATATTCAAGATTTCAAAAAAATAGAATAAATAAATGGAAGTAGGGAAAATTATCTGTAGGTAATCAGGAGTCTGGGGGATAAGTGGGTAGAGAGGGAGGCAGCAGGGGCGGTGTTTAGACCTTTGCTTTGTAAACGTATTCAGACAGCAATGTGAAGAGGGATCACAGGTGGACAGATTGGAGGCAGAGCAACCGCTCAGAAAGTTACTGTGATGGTTCCGACAAGAGGTAAATAGGATATGCACCACGGCAGTGGCAGTGAGTAAGAACATTTACAGCGGTACAGTCTATGGTATTTGGCCACTGACTGATTAATGGAGGTAAAGGCTATGATTCAAAAGAAGCTGTGAAAGTTTTAAGAAGTTTTAAGTTTGAGAACATAGGACCTGGTGCAGGTATGAGGGGCAGTCAGATTTGGTTTAAACGTATTGAATATGAGGTGCCTTCAAGGAGCCACGCGGAGTTGTGAGAGAGACAGCTGGAAATACACGACTGGAAATCGGGAAGAAACTCGAGGACCATGCCATCGTTGCAGAAAGGAGAGGAGAAGTATTACTATTTTAACCCCTACATCTAGAAAGTTGCTCATTTCCAGTCTCTTCCTATCATCTCTATTTATTAGTGGACTGCAATTTCCATCTCCAACTCCTGGCTTATCATGCCCAGAGAGGCACTGCCAGGTGGCCTTCAGGTACCTCAGGGTGTCTGGATGGGAAGCATCACAGCTGAATAAGAAGTCCGCGGCCCTCGAGTCACTGATCGCCCCCCCTTCAGCCACTGTGGAAGCAAGAGCACAGGGTAAGCCAGCAAGTACTGTGGGGCTAAGGCACCAGAATGCAGAGGGATGCTCCTTCACCACTTTACCCACCCCTTCCACCCAGCTTCCTACCCCAAAACTGCCTCAGGTCCCCGCTAACGCTGCTGCAGAACCAACCCCGTTGCCCTTGAAACATGGCGCCACCTTGCACACGAGGACGCGGGGGCGGGGCCATAGCAGAGATTGCTGATTGGTCCTGGCCCGAAGCCAAACTCGATGATTGGTTCTCAGAGTAATGGGCGGGAAAAGCCTGAGGCAGAAGTAAGAAGGTGCCGTTAGTTCCAGACTGAGTTGACCTACTCGTGGGGTTGTTCGCTTTCCCCTGCTACCGCGGAAAAGAGTCAGTCACGTTTGTGAGTTTTAAACCCTAAGCATTGGCAGAATTATTGTGCCATGCTGTACAGTCTTGGGAGCACATTCTGTAGCATCAAGTATTTTTTAAATTGAAGTATAATTGACTTACAATATTACATTAGTTTCAGGTGCACCATATAGTGGTTTAATATTTATGTACATTACGATGTTATTACCCCGTAAGTCCAGTTACCTTCTGTCACCATACGAAGTTATTGCAGCACTATTGACTATTCTCTGTGCTCTTCCATTATATCCTTGTGACTTATTTATAACTGGAAGCTTCCCGCTTCTACCCACCCCCTCCCTCTGGCTACCACCAGTTTTTTCTCTGTATTTATGAGTCTGTTTCTGTTTTTGTTTTATTTGTTCATTTATTTTGTTTTTCAGATTCCACATATAAGTGAAATCATATGGTATTTGTCTTTCTCTGTTTTATTTTTTTCACTTGGCATAATACCGTCCAGGACCATGAATGTCATTACAAATGGCAAAATTTCATTCTTTTTTATGACTGAGTAGTGAAATTCCATTATATGGATTCCCCATATCTTCTTTATCCATTCATATATAGACTGGACACTTAAGTTCCTTCCATATCTTAGCTATTATAAATAATGTTACACTGAACATAAGGATGCATATGTCCTTTTGAGTTAATTTTCATTTTCTTCAGATAGAATTATAGTATCAAGTATTATTTTGAAGCAAAACAATCAGAATCACTAAAAGATGAGGACTTTTATAAGGACATAACCACAATACCATTATCACACTTAAAAATATTAACTCTTTAATAGTCAAATATCACCAGTGTTCAGATTTCCAGTTTTCTCAAAATTATGTTGTTCTTTTACATTATCCACTTCCCTCTTTACATCAGTTTTAATAAGCTATATTTTTCTGGCATTAGATCTATTTAATCTAAGATTCCAAAAATATTGATATAAAGTTGTTCATAACACCTTTTATTGTCTTTTAAAAGTCTGCAAGCTCTATAGCAATGCTTCCTTTTCACTTCTGACATGTATGCCTTCTTTTTATTTCTTAGTTTCACCAGAGGTCTGTCAATTTTATTAACCTTTTCAAAGAACAAACTTCTGGCTTCATAGATACTCTTTTATATATTTCTTTATTTCATTAATTCTGCTTTTATAATTTTCATGGTTTTAAATCGCTATTCTCTTTCTAATTTCTTGAAAGAGATCACTGATTTTCATCCTTTGGTTTTCTAATACGTGTATATGAGTCTATAAATTTTCTTTAAACTGTGTGCCACAGTTTTTGAGATGTCACTTTTTATTATCATTCAATTTAAATTATTTTTGAGATGTCCAATGTGATTTTTTTTATCTGTGGGTTACTTAAAATATTTTAAAATTTCCAAATACATGTGATTATTTTGTTACCTTGTTGTTATTGATTTCTGGTTTCTTAAGTGCATTAAGGTCAAAGAATATGGCCTGTGTGCTTATAATTCTTTAAAATTGGTTGAAATTTTCCTTATGATTGAAGTATATGGTCAGTGTTCTGTGTGTGTTTACAAAGAATGTTGTGCAGCTATTGGATGTTCTGAGGTGTTGGGTGCAGTGTTCTACATATGTTCATTTAGTCAAGTTTGTTAATCATATTATCTGATTCTTTTATCAATTACTAAGAGAAGCATGCTAAAAATCTATTTGTAGATTTATCAATTTCTTAATTTTTGCTTTATATATATATTAAAATTAAGTTGTTAGCTACATATGAATGTATACTTGTTAATTTCTAGCTGATTGAACTATTAAGCACTTAATATAAAAGGTGAAACTTTAAAACATATGAATAAAACAGAGGGAAATATCTCTCTGGTCTCTGAGTAGAGAAGCATTCTTTAAAAGTGACACAAATATTAACCAGTAGAACATATTTGCAGTGCAAATAGCCAAGAAAAAATTGGTATCCAGAACATATAAATAATCCTGTGACTCAATATGAAACAAACGACCTAATAGAAAAATGGGCAAACACCCAAATAGGCATTCCATAGAAGAGGGAACGTAAATGGCCAATAAACTTATTAAAAGGCCAATGCTTGGCTACGGCCATGCCACCCTGAACAGGCTTGATTTCATCTGATCTCAGAAGCTAAGCAGGGTTGGGCCTGGTTAGTACTTGGATGGGAGACCACCTAGGAATGAATACCAGGTGCTGTAGGTGTTTAAAAAAAAAAAAAAAAAGATGTTTAACCACAGTGGTAATTAGGGAAATGGAAACTAAAACTACAATGAGATATCATTATGTACAAACCTTACTGGTAAATATTGAATTGCAAAGACATAGATTAATGGAATCTCTCACTGCTTGTGAGAATGTAAATTGGCAAAATTGCTTTGACCAATTCAGCATTACTCCTTTGCAGGTATGCATACCCTATGTCCCATTTATTAGATATATACCCGGAGAGACTTGCTTCTGTTTACCAGTACACATATACAATAATGTTTATGGTAATAACAGTTAAAGCAATAGCAACAACCAAAAACAAAAACAAAAAACTAGAAACAACCACTTATCAACAGTAGTTTGTATATTTCAATTGTTTTATTTTCATACAATGGAAAACAATATAATTTTGAATTTTAAAAAAGCTGAGGAAGACATACAATATGATTTCCATTCATTTAAAGTTTAAAAAAAAAGCATATTAAAACTATACTTATGAATGTAGTATAGAAGAAAACTAAACAGTACATCTGTTGGAAAAACAGACCTATGAATTACTTTCAAAAAGGAAAAGGCCAGATACAAAATGTGGAATAGTGATTACCTCAGGGCTGAGAGAGGTACACAGCAGGCTTCAAAGGTTCTATTTTCAAAACTAGATGGTCAATTAATGAGAGCTTGTTTTTGTTTTATTCTCCAAACTGTACATATACATTCCATAAACTCTTCTGTATGTATTTTATAATTTAATTTTTTTAAATAATCAAGAAAACATGTCAACTTAGGAAAATTTTATCTAAAGTAGTAATCAAATATTTCGCCTTGAATAAACCATGTTTACTCATCTGAAAATTTAACTTATCCAGAGCATCTCTTTACCTGGAAATACCTCAGTGAATCCTAACATGCTGACTGGGGCCTCTTTCGCCTTTTACTTCATACAAGGATATTTTTATTACTATCAGCCTCATCTCCTGTAGCCTGAGATAAAACAATGTATAAGACAGCCCTAGTCATGCTTCATAGTGAATACCACTCAGAGTCTATTTCTAGCAGGGAAGATCCATATTGGTGTTATATGATTCACACTCTTTAGAAAGATTCCTGTTTTTAATTATACTCTAAGTTCTAAGTAGAGGGAGTGTTCAAATTTTTTAGTATAGAATAACCGATTATCTGGGAAAATAAATTTGTGTCATCTAATGTTAAGGTAAATGCTAGAGAGCTAAGGTAGTATGTTATAGAAAGTATTAAGGTGGGTACCTACAGATAGTGAAAAATATGTGTACACCTGTGGTCTGTCCTTATTCTCCTGGTGATCTGAATAAAATTCTTTTTTTTTTCTTTTTTTTTTAAAAAAGAAAAAACAGCTTTATTGTGGTATAATTTACATCCTGTAAAATCTGCCCATTATAAGTATATAGTTCATTAATTTCTAGTATATTTATATAGCTATGCAACCATCTCCACAAAAATAATTCATTTTTAAGAAGTATATTCTCCATATTCAGATTAGAATTTTTACCCATTCCTATTCATCTTTCATTATCCAACTTAATCACAACTTTTCCTTGTAATTTTCTCCTCCTGTTCTGGTGAACATTGACCTCCCCTTTCTCTAAACTCTGTAATACTTGTCTGTTCCCAAAGACAGTCTTTAGATATCTATTATCTAGAACTATGCATATTATTTAAGACAGCAATTGAGCCCTCTTTTATCCCCCAAACTCTTTGTCAACTACTTGAATTTCTTTATCACAATACCTGAAACCCCACCATTAGAAATATGTACTTACTGAATATGGACTGTGTATTAGCTAGTATCATGTCAATGTTAAATTTTCTGAATTTCAGAATTTTGTACTACAATTACATAAGAGAATATCTTGGTTCTTAGGAGATACTCAGGGATAAGAATTATAATGCTTGCAACTTAATCTAAGGTGGTTCAGCAAAATAACATTAGTAATAATTATATACACACAAAAAATCATATGATATGGAATGGATGTGGGAGAGGCTAAAAAAGTCTGGGAAAATATTAATAATTAGTGAATCTAGGTGGAGAGTACATGGGCGTTTATCATACAAAAGTGCAGTTTTCCTATAAGTTTGAATTTAAACAATTTTTTTTTTTAAAAAAAAACATGTTCCTTTAGTTCAATTGTTCTCTATCCTGGTAGCACATTAGAATCACCTGAGAGCTTTTAGAAACTACAGATGCCTGGTCCCACCTGCTAGAGATTTTATTTTAATTGGTCTTGGGTGGGGTCCAAGCACTGGAATTTGTTTTAAATCTTTCTAGATGAATTTTTTTATGCTTCTTTTATATTCTTCAAAACATCTAGCAAGGTTCTAGGCATAAAAAAAAGTCCTCATTACATTCTGAGTGAAGTGAATTCATTAAAAAAAAAAGTAATTTCTTAAATGTAGTTGTAATCATTTCGTGGCTGTTTACCCAAATCAGCAGCTGTAAATGTATGCATATTATAAATGTATACCAATGATATATGACTATCACCTGTCATATATGTGTATCTTTCCCATTATGATGGATAGGGGGCTATTACCCTGCCAAAGAGCTATGCTAATTGTAGTTTTAGAGGGCCAGTGAGGCAGGTCCTAAATACCCTTTCCCCCGCAAAAAACCTATCACATATAGAGAAAGAAAAGTCCCAGTTAGGTGGGACTTCCAAGGAAAGGAAATAGGGGTTGTTCATCAAGGGTACTGCTGAGATCAATGATGCTAAGTACTTTAGACTTAGAAAGAAAAAACAAGCTGGAATATGAGTATATTGTAGAGGACAAGATGAAAAATACTGATATTTAAATTATAGGAAGGAATGATGAAAAGGACATAGCAAACAGAAATACTTAAATGTATTTGTTGTTTTCTTTTTTTTTTTTTAATGCCTACAGCACCTGGTATTCCTAGGTAGTCTCCAATCCAAGTACTAACCAGGCCCAACCCTGCTTAGCTTCCGAGATCAGATGAGATCGGGCACATTTAAGGTGGCATGGCCATAGACTTAAATGTATTTGAATACAGAAAAACAAGTGCCCGCATATATAGATAAATCAAGAAAAAGAGATGAGAAAGAGTTCAGAGAATCACTGAACTAAAAAGTATCTTGAGAGAATTCAAAACAAGATTATAAACTGGCCCAGACCATTTTCTATTTCTTTTCTTTAAATCTCTGGAGCAGTTTTTTTGTTGTTGTTGTTTTTCAAATTATAGTAACGAGTTCTAGAAATGTGTTGCACATTTTATATTTTAAAAATTTAAATAAGAAGAAGAGTATACATCTGAAAATGCATCTATTAAGAGTCATTATGTTGGAGAATAATGACAGCATAATACGATTTCTGGCACGTTTGAAAAGAGTTCCCAAGCATCGCAAACTCAAGTTGTAGTTTGCTCCAGTAACAATAGCAAGATGATCACCCTCATGAGATAAGCTCCTGTGTCATAGAAGACCCCAGTGATTTAGAATGACATCTTAAAAGGTTCTAGTGAAATCCACTTAGGACAGTGAGAATGAAATTGAATTTGTGAATCCTCTTTTCATTATTCCAGAGTTACCCATAAATTGGGAAGAGAAACCAGTGAGACTGGTAAACTATTTCAATACCTCTTTAATAATGCCTTGAATTTACACCATAGTATGACTAATTACTGTGGATGTAAGATATGCAATGGTTCTTTATTCTCTCCACCATCATTAAGGCAAGGGCAGAAATAGGGATAAAGTTTCTCAATGAAAGTACTACTGAAAGTATAAATGTGGGCCATGGTTTTAGCATTGTAGAAGGACACCTGCCCTCCTTCATAATCCAGGTATATGCCCACCCTGTTGAGGTTGTTAGTCAGTTTCAGACTGCAAGGTGGCAAATCCAGAGCCTTTAGATCAGCTTGGTTCCTTAGTCTTAAAAGCCAGAATCCTTGCTCAGGAGTTAGAGGACAGCTGCCTTTCCGAATGATAGATTCTTTGGCAACTCCAACTGTCCATTTCGTCTTCTTTGCTACTTCTACTTCCCAATACCACTTTCCAGATGTGAAGCCTTTTGAGCCCAGCACAGCCACACTTGAGTCAAACCTTTCTGGATCATCGGGCATTACCTGCTTAATGTCACCATGCCACACACTGGTTCGGTTTTTGGAGAGCACCAAATTTGGGTGAGCTGTTTTAGGGTCCAGAGTTAATGGAGATAGGCCTAGTAAGAAATAAGAGAAAGCAGGGCACGAGAGAAAAGGGATGAATGCAAATTCCCATAGTAAAAGGCAGTTACATAGACAGCAGTACATTATCTCCCTCATGCACATATACTTTTAGGCAGGTAGTTAACTTATATACCTTGTGGCTATATTGTAGACATTTTTATATTTATGGTAAAAAATCAAACTTTACTCTGAAGTAATTTATGTTCTAATGAAGAAAACGATACAAATAATATATATCTGTACTGGTAAATATAAGAAAATACAAATGCTGAAGAGGTAACGATTAGGTAAGTTTGTCCTATAAAAGCTTTCTAAGGACAGTATGTATTTCAGTTATGATATAACTAAGATATATTCAGGATGCTTTGAGTAACAGAAGCAAAAAACGAATGGGCTAGAAACAGTAGCTTATGTGGAAAGAACGAGCTGCCTGTTAGAGGCAGGTAAGCTAACTGGTACAGTTTTTAGAGGATAATGGTGAGAAGTTTATATTTGGTTTAATAGATAATGAGACTTTTGAGATCTGAAATGGTTTATGTGCTGCTAATCAGAATGTGGTCCACAAACTGTGTGGTTACCAGTCTGGGACAAGAGAGTAAAGAATTTAAGAGTAAACTCTTAGATATGTTAGCAATCCGAAAGAATAATTTTATGTCAGTTGAATCTAATAATTAAAAAACTGAACTCGCACTTTGTAATCTGTTTTTTTTTAATTCCACTTTTTCAAGTAATTGATTTATATTTTATTCTACAAACATATCAGTCCATGGCAGGTTGTGATTTTAAAAACTGGTCTTTTGTCACAAGTAACTTGACAAGCATTGGTTTAGACGAATCAAGGGGCATCAGTATTAAAAAGAATTTCTAAATAAAGAGAGGTTGAAAGTGTACCAGCAAAAAGAGGATTCTAGGTGTGAGATAATTGAAACTTGGCACAAAATTTGATAAAGGAAACATAAAAGCTATGTATGTTCACATCATGGACACAGATACATATATACATACATTTATTGTTGGTGGATTTATTTATCCTTGGAAATGAAGTCAGTCCAGTCCAACTCTCTCTTTCCAGAAAAGCCTGTGTCTTTTGACTGAATACCAAGGATTTCTATCATCCCTAGAACTTCTCTTTTCAATAACAGACTGAATTTTTCCATACAGGCTGAATCTTCTCTCCCTCACATGTCCCCGTCCACCTTGGGTTGTTACTCTTTCCAATGTGAGGAGTAAGGTTTCTTTGGAGGTATCATAAAGACTTCTTACCAGCCTTTTTAGAACCCGAGTATACTCTCCTCACCAAGCTTCTGACACCTCCATATAGCTCAATCTGCACTGGCTTTGAAGATTCCTAGGAGTCGGCTTTGTGTCTTCTGTTTTCTTCTCTTGCCATATTCAATCCAACAGTAAATTCTGTCAGCTCCACCTTTAAAATATATTCTGATCCAACTCAGAATATATACAGATAATTTCCACAAATACCACCAGCCTGGAACTACTTCAATAGCTTTTTAACTGTTCTGATATCACTCTTGCCTATCTGCAATCTATCTGCAATTTTTCCTATAACGCGGATGGGATTATCCAGTTCTCCTACTCAACATACTCTTATGCTTTTCATTATCTAAGATAAAATCCAGACTCTTTACAGAGCAAACAAGACCTACATGATTTACCCATCTCTCTGACATCATCTGCTACCACATTGCCCTCATTTACTTTGATCCAACCACCTTAGCCTTTTGGCTGGTTGAATATATCAAGCTCATACATACATACTTCAGGGCCTTTACACTTTCTTTCCTTGTCACCAAATAATTCATTCCTTTACATTCATTATGCAGGCCTTTGTTCATGCAAGTTCGTAAAATGTTAATGATACAATCTCGATAGGTATAGGGGTATTCATGGTAAAAGTCTTTAAACTTTTCTGTATATTTGGAACTTCCACAATAAAACATACAGAGAGGGGAATTACTTCCTCAGAGAGGTTTTCTCTGGCTATTCTATCTAAAATAGCATGTTCATCCATCCATCACTGTTTATACTCTTATCTTGCTTTACTTTTTCTCATAGATAGTTATTTAATGAGTGTACCTTGCTTTATTTTCTTCACAATGGTTATCACTATGTAAAATTTATTTATTTGTCCATTGTCCATTTCCTCCACTAGAATGTAATCTCTGGGATGACAGGGACTTTATCTGTTTCGTTTCCTGAGATATCGTCAAAATTTGGAACTGTTCCTAGGTGTTCAAGTAACTATTTGTTAAATAAATAGATAAATGAACTTCAATCAAAGTTCCATTTGAAATCTGGACACCAGCTAATTCCACCATGTCTCATATTCCTGTTATCCTTGACCAACATACAGAATGTAGACCCCTCCAGTAATTTATACTCTAACATGCTCTTATTCCCATATCTGTTCTTTGCTTCCTCTATCTTCACCCATCCTCCCACAGTCTACCCAACCCTTTCCACCCTGCCCTTTGGAATTCCTTTCCAAATTAACTCTCCTGTATCCTCAGTTTACAGAATTTTCTCACCCCGCTCTTTAACAGAAACTTATCTGGTCCTTCCTCCAAAAACAGCTTCCAAAAAGTTCACAAGACTATTTTCTAAATTCAGATTCAAGAGATCCAGTAACCACCACTGCCACTTCTAGACCCCTACTCTACTCCTCATGCTTTTGTAAAAACTACTTTTCATTGAGGCTCATGTCATTCCATTTTATATTACCCTCTATCTCTATTCAATGCTATCATGTACAAACTTCCTGTTATATTCCCGCACTTTGGGTTAACTTTACACCTCTAGCCCGACTTCAGCCCATCATCCCAAGTGATTTCACTATCTTTTGGATATAGCCACTCTTCCACTCTTGCTGGTCCTTGACTTTACTGTTAGTGACTTTTGACTCCACTACATGTCAGCCGTCCATATCAATGACCATATTCGGGACCTTGTAGTCATCAGAAAATATTCCTTCTCTAAAATCTTAAAGTCAGATATCTCCAGTCTCTTATTTTTTGAGCTTTTTCACTCTCATCTCCCCCTACAACCATTGCTTGATTTCATTATTCTAGTCCCTTATTTCTCCTTATTTCCCTAAGCTATCTGCTTCCTGGCTTAAAATCCTTCCCTAAACAGCTTAGCATTGGCAGCTTTGTTGCCAATAACCTCAACACTTTTATTCTCTTTTTTGCAGCACCTGCCATGCAACTCTCCAACCCTGGATATATCCATCTATTCAAATTCACATCCAAATTCCTGACCACTGCAGAAGCAAAGTCACAAAATTGTACATATAGACACCACAACAGATTCATTATTTCCACTTTATGTTTGACAATGAGCCCTGCCCAGAACTCCTGTGTTTTCTGAATCAAATCAAATCATCTTCTACAAACATCTTCCTCACAACAGCAATTTTAAATCTTCAACTCCCCGCCTCAAACCTCCATTCTTCCACTTCCCCACCTCTTCAATCTTGGGCAGAAGACTTCATTCCCTGCTTCACAGGGAAACATCTTATTGGAATCCCTCAAATCTTTCCACTCATACTGCAAGATCCACTTGATAAAATTATTTGCCTCTACCACTTTTACCTCCTTTCCAAAGGAGAAATCTCCAGAGGAAACTGAGAAAAGTCAATATTTCGCTCTCTGTTTATAACTCACTCACTCTTCCCTACTTCTACCAATTATCCCCTTTCTTATACCATTGATTTCTGCCTTTCTATGAGCTGCTTCCCTTAAGTATGTTTTTTAAAGTCCTCTTTTGACTCTGTTCCTACATTCACATCTTCCCTTCTTAGTAAAATTTCTCAAATAGTGACCTATTCACTTCACTACTGCCTCATTCCAAATCACTCCTGAATTCTTGACAATATGACTTCTACCCATTATACTCTTTACCAAAGTCACCAATTATTGTTTGTTTGTTTGTTTTTTATCTCTTTTCCAATCGTTTTCTAAATCGATCTTCACATGTGGCATGAATGACTACTACCTTTTCCTTGACAGTCTCTTTCCTTAGATTCCATGTCAACCTCATTTCCTGGTTTTTCTCTTTATTTCTCTTGCCAAAGTTCCTGTCTCTTTTGGAAGCTTAATTGCCCTTTATTTGTTAGTATTCTCTATAATATGCTCCCTCCTTAACTGTATGTTCTCTCTTTCCTTAGAAAATCTCATTTACATCAATAGTTTTGGGTACACTGCTCTATACTGATTATTCCAACCCTGGCGTCTCTCTTAAGCTCCAGTTGAAATAGTTAACTATTTGAATATATTTACTTAGTTGTCCTGTAAGTCCTTCAACAAAATATGGCCACAATTGAACTCATCAACTCCGTCCAAATTCTGCATCTTCTATATTTCCATCTTCTACATCACATTTCTCTACCCCTTACCACCAATTATTGTTTGGTACATTTCAGCTCCTGGAATTCTGGCTCTGGAATCTGTTCTTTATATTACATTCTCATTCTCATGACTTTGGCTTAGATCTTAATAATTTTTCACCTACATGGCTACTACAGACTCTAAATTGATCTTCTAGTCTCTTCTTCTTCAGAGCAGAAACTATGTCTTTAATTTCTATGTGCTTGGAACCCAACTTAGTGCTTAGCATGTAGTAGGTCCTCTATAAGAGTTTGGTGAATAAATGAGTAAACTTTGGTGATATTTTACTGTGTGCAAAACTAAAGGAAATATGTTAAAATATTTTACATTGGAATTGGTAAAACTACAACCAGCAGGCCAAATCTAGCCTGCTGCCTGTTTTGTAAATAAAATTTTATTTGAATACATCAATGGCCATTCATTTACATATTGTCTGTGGTTGCTTTTTCACTGCAATGGCAGAGTTAAGTAGTTTGGACAAACACCATACATCTCTCTATCTGACCATTTATAGAAAAAAATACCAACCCCTTCCATAAAGCAACAGCAGGAAAGGAGAAAATAAGAACCTGCAGAATAAGCAAAGAATT